GGGCGGCTCGTGGCTGGAAGGAGACCCCGGGGCAGGAGGGCCCGATCGCGGCTGCCGAGAGAAGGAACGCAGGGACCAGAACCGGCTGGAAGTGGGGAGTGGGAGTGATCCGACCGGCCGAAGGGTTGCTGAGAGAGTGGCCTCGAGGCCCCGAGGGGACCCCAAGAGAAGTCAGCAAAGGGTGATGAGAGGTGCTGGAGGAGTCTTGTATGGGAGTGAGCAAAAAACTCGGAGGGTGCCCAGGGACTCCCGTTTCGTCCCCGACCAGGTGCGAGTTGGAGGTAGAACCGGATGGACACTGGGTGGGAGAGGGGGCTTCGAGGGGTGGGGGTACTTGGGACCCGCTGGGAGCGAGCGGGTCGGGGCGGGGAACCCGCGTGAGTAGGAAGAGGAAGTCGGGGAGCTCGGGACGGGTGTGTTTCGGAGCGTTTGGACCGGAGGGACTGAAAGATGGCTCTGTGAAGACTCTGGGGAAGAGAGCAAGGTCTGGGGGTGGGGATGGGCGCCAGATGAAAGTGTGTGCCCTGCCCTCTGAGGAGGAAACTTTGGGGAGCCCTAGCATGCCTGGCTACCGAGTGCAGGGAAGGGGTCTCGGGTGGAAGTATGGACGGGGCCAGTACGGGCACTCGGAGGCTGTGTTGGAAGCCCTTGAGAGCCGAAACTCTTTAGGGGTGTGAAGGAGTGGGGGCTACTGCCCTGAGATGGGAAATGTGTGGGATATCAAGTGGAGAACCCCTAACTGGAGTCAGAAGTGGCAGTCAGACATGTCCAACTGTGGAGATGGGAGGTGGATGAAGATAGTGCGGAGGAATGGGGGGTACCTGGAGGATGGCAGGGGAAGCATTTTATAAAGCAGGAAGGCACCCAGAGGAAGGATTCTGGCGGGGGTGGTGGGTGGAGGGAGGGTGGGATGTGTTTGTGGAAGTTTTTGGGAAGGGACCGTATGGTTTGGTTGCTTCGGAGAGGGTTTGTGCTCTGGGATGATGTTTGAAAGAAGCTGAGGAGGTGGGCTGGGTTTTGTGACCTTGAGAAGTGTGGGTCAGCTTGCAGAGTGTCCTGGGGAGCCTGGATAGCAGAGTTGTGAGAATTTAAAGGGGTCCAGGCATGGGCTGCGAGGAGTCTGAAGGTTCCCCAGGCTGAGGTATTATTAGCAGAAGTCAGTACCTGCTTCTAGCAGCCCATCTTTCCCCTTCTGATCTGCTGTTTCCTATCTAGTTGAAGTGGGGACCCAAATAAAATATCTGATTAGAATTTTGTCCTTAGGATGAATAAAGAAAGCAGCCTACAATTCTCCCTCGCCAATAGGGATCTTAGCTACATGATAGCTGAGGCTTGTGTTGGAGTGGGAGAAATCCTTATGTAAGTACCTCTCGCTTTTGTGTCCCATCTCTGCTTCTGGAGGTCTTTCTCAGGGGACATCTTATTAAATCTTCTCAGTACTCCATCGTGTAGGCAGGACCAACGTCATTGCCCTCATTCTGCAATCGTGATAGCAGCTGCTGTTTATTGAGCACATATTATGTGCCAGGGACTGTATTAGGCACTTCACACACATGGTATCATTTAATCCTTGCAGCATTCGGGAGGGTGAGTGATATTATTCTCCCACCCCACCCCCCTTTTTAAATAATCAGCAGAGGAAATGGAGACTTTGAGAAGGTCAGTGATTTATCTAGGATCACAGCCTGTGGGCGGCAGGGGTGGTCTGTGGGCTTTCAAGCCCATGCTCTATACCTCTCCGACGCCCAGGACAAATAAGATGCCTGTTGGAAGGAAACTCAGTGGCCTCCCCAGGATCATCCAAGTAATCAGAGCAGAACAGGGACTGAATCTTGGTCTCTGGGACTTCATGCCAGTGCACCCTACAGCACCCACCACCCCACCTCCTCATTTTTGAGACAAGCAAGAGAAAAAATGTGTCTGTTCCCACACTTAGTGGCCCTTCTTGGAGTCTGAGAGGAAGTTGTGGATAGCACCTAGTTAGGCTCTCCCTTGTCCAGGCTCCAGCATCACTTACTTTGTACTTCTGTTTTGTTTTTACCATAGTAAAAATTCAAAGATCTCTGAGGTGTCTGTGGGTATAAGTAAAAAAGGAAAGCCCCGCCACCCTGCTTCGTCCCTTTCCTCCCCTTCTCTCCTCCCTAATTGTTATTGCTTTAGAAGTAGTTCAGCTCTATGTGCATAATATACAAAATCATATTTCATGCATCATTTTGTGACTTTTCACATTCTCATGTGTCTTGATGTTCCTTTCATATCAGCTTGAGAGCTCTTTCTCATTATTTTCGAAAACTACATTCTGCTGTTGTTTGTACCATAGCTCATTTAGTTTGAGCCCTCTTGGTGGATTTTTAGGTTGTTTCCAATTTTTGCCCGTCAAATGGCTGCAGTGAATATCTGTATATTCCCATGTGAGTATACAGCAGATTAGATGGGTGGAATGGTAGAATAGATGTATTTATAAAACGGTGATTAGTTCTGCCAAATTGCCCCACATTTACACTCCCAGCAGCACCTCTTTTTATGCACCTTTACTCAAACACTTATCGATTAGAGAGGTGTGACTTCTGCAACATCCTTTAAGGCCTGGACTGTGTCAGATTTTCCTGATAAACTCTGAATACCTTTTCTCCAAATAGCCGCCTGCAGCTGCTCCTGGCACAGGACCCACTGTGGCTCTGCAGTCAGTGCTCAATAAGTGTGTGGGAATGGCAGGAGAGACAGCCTCCCGTGAGGTCCTGCCAGGAGATACCCAAAGATTGGAGCGGGGAGGTGGCACAGACGCAGCCTGATGGTAAGCAGGACTTTGCCAGGTAGGGGTATTGCGAGAAGGAGATGATGCAGTTTCTGCCCTTCAGAAACTTCCAGGCTAATAGAGGAGGCTGGTCTGCACAGGAGGCGACAGAGAATGCTACACGTTCACATGCAGTTGAGTTTTCCATTGTGTGGCTCTGCCCACGATTTGCGGCACTTCTGGGAAGGGGAGCGAGTTCTTTGAGGACAAGAGGAACCTGGGGTGAGGGATGGGGGACAGAATCTGGAGATGCAGCAAGTGAGCTGCCAGTGGAGAAGGTACAGAGCTGGCACCTCCCACTTGCAGCTTCACAAGGGGCCTTGAGGGGTCTATGGGGACTCAGCCCTGCCTGAAGCCACCAGAGCTTGAGAAGGAGTACAGGAGATGCAGGGCCAGATGGGACCAAAGCCCACCCGGGGAGGGGGCTGGGACAGAAGGTTGGGATGCAGAGAGTCAGTGGTCTTGGAGGACTGAGATGCTGAGGCCCCTCGGGAAGGGTTTTCCAATGTCGCCTAGGTGGAAAAGGAACAGCCGGAGGAGAGGCGGCAGCCCTGTCTTGGAGTGGTTCTGGGGGCGTGTGTATTCCAACAGTCTGGCCAGAGGGAATGGCAGTGGTGGAGATGGTGGATAGAGAACTTCCAGATCCCAGCCTTACCTGCTGGCCCACCACGTACTGGCAGATTGGGCAGCGGTGTCTGCTGGTGTTTGCAGGGTGGGAGGGACTGGTCACTGACACTTCCCCTTTCTGTGGTATTCCACCAGCTCAGGACACTTCAACCACCCCCATGTTTCTGGTTCTCTTTTCTCCCTTCTTTGCCAGAGGAACTGGGAAGGGGACCACAGAGCAGAATGGGCCGAGTGTGAGCCTCACATAGTCATCAGGAGAGGGGAGATCAGGGCTTAATGTGGAGGTAGGGAGATGAAGCGGAGAGGCCGAGCCAGTGCGAGGGCTGGGCGTGATACTGAATTCGACAGATGAGGGTCACTGGGTATTATCAGTCCCACCTCCTCATCACCTTAACCCACTTAGCCCCCTCACTGCCTAATCCTAGTTTGGGCCACTGTCATTTCTCCCTGGGATTTCTGGAATTGCCTCCTTTGTGACTGGTTTCTCTGCTGGTTTAGCTCCCATTCCCCCACTCCAGCTATCAGTTCTCCACGTTGTAGTTTGTGGAATTACCTCTGTAACATGTGAATCTGATTACATCTCGCCTTAGCTTGGAAAGAACCCTGCCATAGCTTCCCCTCTGCTCTTGGGATAAATTTCAAACTTGCTCACAGAGTCTGCGATCCTTTATCAGGCCTACAAGCTTCTTTGACTTTCCTCACTAACCCTTTTACACATTCTAATGTGGCCATGCTGGCCTTTTTGGAGTTCTTTAAGCCCGCCACCATGCAACTCTTGTCTCTGTCTTCTGCCAGCTACACTCCATCCCTGTGGCTGGTCCCTCCTTCCATAACATCCACTGCTCCCTCCCCAGGGCCCTGGTCACCATATATGTTAGTTTTCGCGTCCTCTGCTCTTGCCTGCACTGGACTGAGAGCTCTGTGGGGACAGGAGGCACTCGTCTTCTCTATTACTTCCCCAGTGCCTCAGGCAGTTCCTGGCCATCACAGGCAGTCACCAGTGTTGGATGTTGAATGAATGTCGCTCAGCAGGCTGTACAGGGGCTGAGAAGCAGACGCTCACTAACAGAGAAGCCCAGAGGGCAGGATCACAGAAAGGTGGTAACTTGGGGCTTGTGTTTAGTGATCCACCCTTTCTTCCCTGCCGCTCCCCCGACCTAAAATGACTCACAGGCAGAGTAGATTGGGGTGACTGAGAAGGCACACGAAGGACAGAAATTCAAACTTCTGAGATGTTGATCACATGTGAGTCCACCTGTCTGGCCTTAGGTATTTATGTACATATGGGTTGATTTAAAGTGGAGAGAGAAAAACGTCTTGGGCAGGGGGAGTCCCTTTTTCTCAATGGACAGGTGGGGTTTGTTTCCCAAAGCATAGCTGTGGTATGTATGTTGTTTGTTGTTTGTCCCACACTCTCTAGAATATAATAAACTCATCATATTCAGTGGTGTATCCTCTGTCCATCTGATACATAGTTGGGGCTCAGTAAATATTTGTGGAGTAAATGAATGAATGAATGATCCTTTTGTCATACGTTAACGTATGTATATCCCTTTTTATTTTTTCAAAAGAAGGCCTACCATTGCCATTACTCCCATAGGTTAAATTCCTAGAAGTGGAGCTGCTGGGACAAAAGGAATGTGTGGGTAATATTTTTGTGGATGTGGCCAGATTGCCCACTGGAAGGGTTTGTCAGTTTATGGCTCCACCGACCATGTCTGAGTGCGCCTGTTTCCTGGTCCCCGGCCCTGGCCAGTGCTCGGCATTACTTAGCACACGTTTGGTTCTCTGCTGACCTGAGGGAGAGACCTGGTCCCTGGAGCAGGACAGAGTTGATGGTAGGCCTGTGGGCAGCGGGCCATGGTGTGCTCTGAGTGCCAGGGGCAGATAGGTCAGGGCCCTTCGAGCCCCAGGGACAGGGAGAGGCATGTTTGTGGGCATCTGAGAGGCCACCAATGATGGACAGTTCTGGAGCAAGCCTTTGGGAAGGGGCACAGCCTGGACAAGGTGTCTAGGGTGACTGGGGGTTTCTGGTGGAGCTATTAAAGTTCTTCAGTAAGCACATGACATGGTAGGGTTGGCTCCAGGAAGACGCAGCTGCTGGTGGGTCAGAAGGCATCTCTGCTCGATGAGTCTAAGAAGTAGGAGCTGGTCTTTATTAGCTCTTCTTCTGTGCTAGGCCTTGGACTGAAAAGGACTTAACACATGAGGGGCAGGTGCTCTGATGAGCCCCATTTTCTAGAAGAGGAAACAGAGGTGAGGAGAAGGCCAGAGACCTGCCTAAGAATGTGCAGCGCATAAGTGGCCAGGCCTGGAGCTTAGGCAGTCCCAGCCTGGAACAGAGGCGCACTTGGGGAGAAGCCAAGGATGAGCCCTGCACTCAGGGCTTTGGCACAGGACTTTCAGAACATGGTCAGAGTCCAAGATCCTGCCTCGAAGGCAGTTGGCCCGGTGTCTCCGAAAGACCTGTTGAGAAACCAGAGCAGACTGGGGCAGTGCATGCCAGCAGACAGTGTGAAGTGGTTGGCAGAGGTCCTGGGTCATGTCTGTGGCACATCTCCCTCACCCTGGACAGACTCCAGTGGGACGGTTGGTCCCACCGTGGGAGTCGGGCAGTAAAGCCTTTGCATGCAGCGGGAGCTGAGCCGAGCCACCCACTCTTGTCCCTAAACTCCAGAAGTAGCTTCCTACGCCTCCCAGAGACAGATGCTCTGGTAGGAATAGTGCGATGCCACCTCCACCAGCAACCTCAGGGACAGCACCTGCCTGGGGCTAGGGGAGGAGAAACCCAGGGCTGTTAATGCCTACCTCCCCTGCCTTCATCCCTGATCCGACTTCCCCCGAAAAGGCGGGGACCAAGTTAGGCCCAAGCTGTCCTCATTTAATTTCAGGGCTTAAGGCCTTCTCTTCAGCTCTCCCATTGTGGGCGGCATGGAAACAGATCCAGCACATCTTCTCACCGCTCCATTAACCCCAGCTCTGGGTCTTCATGCCTGAAGTGGCTCCGCATGTCATTGCAGGGGTGAGGCTGCAGTTGATTGTCCCTGAGTGAGAGAGGGACACACATCAGTGAGCCTGAGCCCTGCTGTCTTCTTGTCTCCTGCTGTTCCCCCCCCCCCCCGCAGGCTCAGGTGGCCTTCCTCCAGGGAGAAAGGAAGGGTCAAGAGAATCTCAAGACCGACCTGGTGCGCCGGATCAAGATGTTAGAATACGCACTGAAGCAGGAGAGGTGAGCCCTGCTGTCCATGGTCCTGCCTTCAAGGCAGGGCCAATGGGAGGTTTGGAGCTGGCGGTACTACCTTCTAGTTGAGGGAGACTTGGGATCAAGCATTCTCTTCCCTATCACCCAGTTCTGCATGGCTCTAGGAGAGGAGGACACAGCAAGACGTAGTAGGTGGGATTCAGGATAAACAACTAGTAACTGTATTCATAACACCAAATACCGGACATTCCTTGTCTCACTTGTCCCTTCCAGTAGGGTGAGGGTGAGAATTTCTTCAAGGACTCTGGAGCTGGGATGGCAACCCAGTTTGCCTGACTCCAAGGAGTGGGCTCTTCACAATGCCATCTGTGATGCCTCCTCCGCTGGGGCTGCTTCCTAATCGGGCAGCTCAGCATCAGAGGGAGGAGAGCGGATAAGAGGACAAACCTGGGATTTGGGATTCCTGAGACAAGGGCTGGCCCTGTCTACTCTCCTGTGTCTCTCATTTGTTAATTGTTTGTTCTTTTAGGGCCAAATATCATAAATTGAAATTCGGGACAGATCTGAACCCAGGGGAGAAGAAACCAGAACTGTCAGAACAAGGTACTCACCCCTCATCCTCCCTGCTTGCCTACCGCCCCCCTCCCCTGCCCTGAACAGAACCAGATGTGTTACAGGAGAGCGGAGATGGGCCACCTCTTTCTCTCTGCTCCCCAGAAAGCAGGGTGGGCCGGGCTGGGGCAGGGCGGGGTCTCACTCTCAGGGCCCCTCCTGTGGGCTGCTCTACCAGATACTGCTGGGTGCTCAGGGGACAGAGAGGGTGGGCGAAGAATCCTGGAAGTCCTGCCTGCTGTCCCTCTGTGACATAGACATAGACACATGAGGTCCCTGACAGTCTAAGCTCCTTGAAGGAGGCATTAGTTCACCGCAGGAGGCAGGGAAGGCTTTCCAGGTCCGGGGAGGAGTGTCCCAGAGCACCGGGACTTAGAGACGGGGGTGTGTGAGCCAGGTGAGGGCCTGGGTGACCTGTGATCGCTGTTCTTCATGTCGGACTTCTCCTACCAGACTGTGAGTTCCACACGGGCAGGGGTCTTTATTGACTGGGCATGTAATAGATGCCCGATAAATATTCAATGAATAAAATAAATAGATTATCTCATTTAATCCTCACAACAATCCCAAGAGTAGGGGCTATGATGATTAACTTCATTTCTCAGAAGAGGAAACTAAAGCTCAGATAGGTCACCTAACCTGCTTCAGGGTCACACAGCTGGGAGTCGCTGAGCCAGACTTGAACCTAGTGAGTCTGCCCATTCTCCCAGAACTGAGCCTGTTTCCTGTGTGGGGAAATAACAGAACTAGATCTGGGTCTGAAGGTAGTTTGGGACTGGTTTGGGGAGGTGTACAGAGGGGAGAGGGTAGGCTTCAAACACTCTCAAGAAGTGACTCTGTAGGACCTGTGACAGTGACTGATTAGGGGTTTGAAGGTGAGGAGGATGGGGGAGGTGGTGGTGCATGGTGGCGCTCTAAGCCTGCCTTCCTTCTCTCCACCCTCCAGTCTCCAATGGCCCTGTAGAGTCAGTCACCCTGGAGAACAGCCCGCTGGTGTGGAAGGAGGGGCGGCAGCTTCTCCGGCAGTGAGTGTACAGGGGAGGGGGGCAGGAGGGGGAGGGGAGACGCATTTGGCTTGGGAGATAAGCCAGAAGACTCCAGTGCTTCCTGTCCCCACTGGGAACCCTGACCTATTAGGATCCCTGCTGGCTACAGCTGAGATGACCTGTCACCCTGTAGGGGGAGCCCTGCCTGGGGGAGTGAGGGAGGCAGATGTGGGGCCCCCACTCTCGGAAAGCAACTCCAAATGCCTCCATGCCTTTTTTCCCCAAGGGTAATGTGAAATTATTTTTTATTAAAGAGACTTGGGTGTTTTAGAAAACTTGGGAAACACATAAAAAATAAAAATCACTCATAATTCCATCACACAGGAATTTCATGCCCCTGTAAACATTTTGGCACATAGGTTATCTCGTTTGTGGTTATGTATTTGTGTGTGCATGCGTGAGTGAGTGTGTGTGTGTGTGTGTGCGCGTGTGAGTGTGTGTGTATTTTATACAGCAGGGGCTTCCCCTTCACGGTGTTCCGTAATGCATTGCTTTTGCTAAGTGTTGTGAACATCTTTCCACGTAAATTAGTTATGTTGCATCATTGAAAGACCTGTATGAAGTCTGTCACTGTAATCATAATCATAACTTCCTACGGTCAGTCTCTTCTTTTGTATTTCACTGAAAGTGTTTTTAATAGTGTGACAAACACCAGGAAGTTACCTGTCCATATGCTTGCTTTCCTTAAGCTAAATATCTGGAAGTGCAATCACTAGATTCAGGTGTGTGCAAACAGTGACCACTCACCCCACCCCCTGCCAAGAATGATCGCCATAGGCTGCCTTTGCCAGGTTCCAGGTATGTGCCGGGCAGCGTGCTAAACATTTTGCACACGGGGGTTCCTCACATCGATCCCCATGTGGTATGGCTGCTAGCATTTCCCTCATTTTCACAGATGAAAAACCGAGGTGCAGAGAGGGTGTCTGTGTGATCTGTCAGGTCACAGCTAATAGGCGGCAGGGAGGCCTCGGACACACACAGGCACCAGACATGGCAGACAGGCAAAGGCAGATGCTGTCTGCTGCCTGGGCCCCCAGAGGGATGGGGACAGGGTCAACCAAAAAGACTCTAGCGGTGCCTCCTAAGGACCAGCAAGGGACTCTTGTCCCCTAGTCCTTTGAAGCCAAAGATACCGATTGTTGATTTTTTTTTTCTTTTTTTTTTAGCTTTTAGACTAGTCCCAACTGGCTTTGGGTTTTTAAATTGCAGGAGTAATAAATGCTCATTTGTAAGAGTAGAGTAAATTGCAAAAGTTCCTGTTAATATCCCTAATCCCATTCTCCAGAGATCACTGCTGTTAAACGTGTAGTGTGTATCTTTCTAGGCCTGATGGGAGCAGAGTACAAATGTGTGTGTGTGTGTGTGTGTGTGTGTGCGCGCGTGTGCGTGTGCGCGCGCGCATTCTATACTTAATGCATGTTGGTTTTTTTTTTAAATACCTGAACTGTAAGGAACACATAACAGTCTTCCGTAAGATGTTTATCGTGGCCATCTCTCCTTGGCACTCTGCCTCATTTATCTTGTGCTTAGTGTCCCATCAGTAATTTGCTTCCGCAGTCCTTGTCAGTGGCCATGTAGGTTGGTCCCTGGGTTTTGGCTCTCCCGTACGGTATGTCTACAAGCATCTTTGACAGCAAGGTGCCTGTGTATAAAGGCTCCCACTGGAAGTAGTCTCAGAAGTGAAACAGCAGGGTCCGGGAAATTCTTATTTAAAGTTTTGGTGTATAGTCTTAAGTTGCTTCTCCAAAAGGACTGTCACAGTTTGCATCTGCCCCCACGGTGTATCAGGAAGCCGGGAGGCACCTAACTCGCACTGGTTCTGCCTCCCTGCAGGTACCTGGAAGAGGTAGGCTACACGGACACCATCCTGGACATGCGGTCCAAGCGTGTGCGGTCCCTACTGGGCCGATCACTGGAACTCAACGGGGCTGTGGAGCCCAGTGAAGGGGGCCCCAGGGCCACGCCGGGCCCCGGGGGACTCAGTGGTGGCGAGTCGCTGCTCGTGAAACAGATCGAGGAGCAGATCAAGAGGTGAGCCCTGGGGCCTGGTGGCTGCACCCCTCTGTGCCTCTTCCCTCCTGATAAAGGCTGGTGTCAGAAAGTCAGCATGTGGGGCCGTGGTCTGGTGAGGCTGAAATCGCAGGAGTCACATTAAATAGGGCCTCATGGGCCACGATAAGGAGCTGGAATTCTACTCTAAGAATTGTGGGAAGCCAGTGGTTTTGAGCAGGGGTGCGACATCACCTGATATACTTGGTCTCCTTCGAGAAGGAGGGCTGATGGAGGGCCAGGGAGGCTGGTTAGGAGACTCTTGCAAATGTCAGGGAAGAGAGGATGGACGTGCGCGGTAGAGGGGGCATACCTCTAGTTCACTAGCACCTGGGACTCGGCAGTCACTAGGGCAGGGAGTGTAGATGGTGCAGAGAGGCGGTCTGAGGGCTGAGCCCGTCTAGGGGCCCGGGAGGGGAGCAGCACTGGAGGCCTGTCCGAGGCAGCTAGTGTCGTGAGAGGAAATGCAGGGAATGGTGTCCTCCGACCGCTGAGTGCAGAGATGTTCTGCTGGGACACTGCACAAATAGGAGGCCGGGAGGTGAGAACTGGATTGGCAACTCGGAGGAAAGCTCTCTCTCCCGGGGCTGCAACCATACATCTGGGCAGTTGACAAGAACTCTCTAGAGCATCAGCCAGTGGCAGAAAAGGAGGATGTTTGCATTTATCTGAACTTTGAATTCTGTCCCCCTTTCTATCCTGGTGTCAGGTTTGGCAAATACCTCCTTGGCTAAAACTTGTCATCTCATAGGAGCCAGTAGTGTGGACGTGGACACTGGAGCACTGGCTGTCAGCGGGGAGGGTGTGGGCTCACCCATGGCCGGGCAGGTGATCAGGGGCCCAAGGGTTCATAGAGCGACCGGTTCCTCTTTCCTGCTGAGTGTTTCCCTGCCGCTCACCTGGCCTGTGCTGTGGTTTGACCGGGCTGTGGGAATGGGGCGGCTGAGTCAGGGGCACTTTCTTGCCTGGCTCCCCTTCTGACTCAGCACAAGGGGGGAGACATGTAGTCAGGGCTGGGGGCTCGTCCTCTGGAACTCGGGGGGTGGGTCAGAGCTCAGTGGGGAGTTAGGTGCAATCTGGGGTCCCAGTGAGGGTTCAGGCTGTAGGGAGCATCTGTCAGCCAGAGGCTGGGCTTGGAGCCTTGGGTATGATCAGAGTCGAGGCTCCTCTGGGGTCCAGGTGGCTCTGCCCCTCCTCTCAGAGCTGCATCGAGGCTCTGGCCACCAAGCCTTGGCACCCTCCCATCTGAGCTTTGTCACCTGGCAGGACTAACGCTCCCTCTGCACCCCTGTCGTGGGCAGGAATGCGGCAGGCAAAGACGGCAAAGAGCGCTTGGGCGGCTCGGTGCTGGAGCAGATCCCCTTCCTGCAGAACTGCGAGGATGAGGACAGTGACGAGGATGACGAGTTGGATGGCGTGCAGCACAAGAAGCAGCGTGTGAAGGTGAGCTCGGGAGCCAGCGGGGCGCCCTCCTAGCCCCGCTCCGAGGAGTGAACCAGCACCAGAGCGCCCCTGTGGGCCCTCTCGGGGCTACTCTAGGGTCTGGTCTGTCCATGGCCTAATCACATCTCTTCCCAGAGTCCCCAGCTCCTATCCAGCCACGCTGTTGCCTTAGTAACCTTCAGAGGTGCCTAGACCTATCCTGTCAGGGCCACCTCTTCACCTGCACCCTGTCACTCTCTCCATCCTCCCGTCTTCGACTCAGATGTTCCCGAGAGGCCGTTCTAAGCTAGGCCAGCCCTCCCACAGTGCTTTCTCCTTCAGGCTAGCCTGACCACAGTCACACTTGGAAATTTTTTGACATAGCTCTGGTTCTCTGTCTCCCGAAGTAGATTATGAGCTCTGTGAGGCAGAGGCGATGTGGGTCTTTTACTGTTCTCTCCTCAGCACCCTGAATTCAGCCTGAGTAGGGGCTACAGCTCAGCCTGGAGCAGGTTGTAGGGCTTGGTGGGGGACTTCATAGGATGTAAGTGTCTGGTCTGCTGTTGGTGTCAGGACCCAGGCCCAGGGACACTGCCCACAGACTGGAGTCCAGATCTCCTCAACTGGGCCTGAGACCTGGCTCCCACCACATCTCACCCCGCTTCTTAACTGCCAGAGCCACTGTGCTGTCCTTAGGCATGGCGTGGTCTCTTCTGGCCAGTGAACATCAGTCTTGGCCTTTATGGGCCAAGCTCTCTGCTGGCCGCAAGGATATAGAAACAGAGTCCGGTCCGACGTGAAGGAGCTTGTGGCCAGCGGTGGACTTAAAGGGAGTCACAGGCAGAGAGATGTGCCACAGAGGAGTCAGGGACTTGTGTCCATGTAGGAGGGCCTGTGGGAGGCGGCCTCAGGAGCTTTCCTTAAGCCGGCCTTCCCCCCAAACTTTGTCCCTCCTCAGACTCACTTCACACACTCCCTTCTCCAGGAAGCCATCTCTGACTCGTCCTTGCTCCCCCCACCTCAACAGGGACAGGAGCCCCCTGTGGGCTCCCCCATCCTGACCCAGACCACTCAGGGTCCTTCCTGTCTGGTGTAAGGTCTGCCCGTGAGGGATCAGGTCAGTCCCGGCCTCCATTCTGTCTCCAGTGTCCCCAGCGTGGCTCAGCACAGGGTCCCAGGAAGATTAGGTTCTCAGTGAACACACCGAGTGGAGTGGAACACAGAGCCAGAACACTGGAATTGGAGTTACAGGAAATGCGGGGTGTCTCTGAGTCTGGAGTTTCTGATGCTGTCCCTGGTCCAGAACACCTGGTTCCTCTGCTCCCTGTTGGGATTGTCACTCCTTTTTCAGGTCTCACCTCAGCCTTCTATGGGAAACCTTCCTACTCCTCTGCTCCTCCTGTTAGAAATTATCACGACCCTCTAGGCCTTTGCATCTGTCACTGCGTCTGTCCCACGTGCCCTGTGAGGTGGCTCATTATATGGGGGTCTCACACCTCCCCAGGCCCTCTGTCTCCACACATCTGGCCTTCAGTGACCAGACTGTGACTCCCAGAGTGGCTGCTGGCCTGGCTGTGTAACTTTGGGCCCATGATTTTGTCTTGTTTTCAGTCTCAGGGCTAATAGTCCCTGTCTCTGAGTTGTTGAGAAATTAGTTAATTAAAATGAGTTTGCGCATGGAGAGCCCACGGCTGCCACTCTGGGTGCTCGGCAGTGGCAGCGTGAGCAGTGCACAGCGGTGGCCTGGCACTAACAGCCCGGACAGTGATGGTGGAACAGCCCCGCACAAGGCCTGTCTCGTGGACCCTTCAGAGCACCTGATACAGTTCCACACCCCTGTAGAGCTCTGACCCCTGCCTTTGCCTCTCTGGGCATGCTGTCTAAACCTTGACCTAGGTCTTCTTCAGGAAAGGAAGAGAAAGACACCCATGTCCCATCCCTCTGGGCCTCCCATGCAGGCCAGAGGCTGTCCCTTCAAGGATGTCTGAGCGGAGTTGCCTTCAAATTTGGACCCTCCAGACCCAGCTCGGGAGCCTGTGGGAGGGGGTCAGCCCCACCCTTGAGGAATTCAGAGGCTGACTGAGGCTGGGCACAGGCAGGGAACACTTAGGAGGGAGAGGGCTTCCTGGAAGAGGTGGTACTTTTGTCCACTGGTCTCAGAATCCCAGTGTTGAGAGTCCCAGTCTTAAGCCAGCACTTAAGGCAGAAGTCAGACATCAAAACTGTCTGAAAATTTTGGAACTCCCTTAAGCCATTTAAGTGCAGTCTTTGTGGTTCCAAAGACACAGCACCCCGATGACACTGTAAAATGCAGTGATGCTTACACCACGAGGGGTGAACAGTGTCACTTCATAAGGGTGGGTATCAAAGGTGTCCGAGTGGGGAAACGCAGATGCGAGGCTGCTCCTGAGTTCACATGTCTGAGATGGGGTCCCGGCTTGTGAATTGAGGAAAACAAGATGCCTTATTTGGTTCTTACCCCTGGTGAAGACCAACCGTGGGAAACTCGGCAAACACAGCATTCACTTGCCCAGCATTCTGTTTCTCAGAATGGAGGAACCGAGGTGTCGTCTCTCATTCTAAAAGTAGCTGCTGCTTGTTATATAAGAAAACAAAAATTCAGCTGATATAGGAAGTTACAAGGAAGACTTAGAAAACCCCAGAGAACCTCATGGCCTAGAGCTGTCTTAGTGTATATGGAACGGCTTGAACCTGGGATAAGGGGCAAGGGGTTGCCCTCTGCTCAGCCTCAGTTTCCTCATTTGTAATGAGAACTATTCAGGGGGTCATGAAATCATGTGTGACGCTAATTCAGTGCACTGAATAACGCGTAGAGGTGGGCACAGGGCATTTATTATTACTGTCATACCTGTGAGTCTGTTCTTACTTTGACTGTGTGACTCCCTACGCTCATGTACACCCATAGACGCAGATATATCTTCCCTTGCCCCTGAGTCAGGCTGTTGCCTTATCTGATGTTGTTTCATGAGAAGTGCTGTGCTGGGTGTAGGGGATGGGGGTTGGGGCAGGAGCCAGAACAGCCTAAGCAAAAGCCAGGAGGAGGGCCCTTGCCTGTGGGGGTCACAGCTGGAGGCGGAGGAAGTGGAATGGGACTGGAGCCCGGCACTGCCCCCTCCCTAGTGAGGAGCAGCCCCAGAGGCGCCCAGCAGGGGGAGCTCGGCGTCAAAGTTCGGGCCTAGGGCCCGGCGCTGTGGAGGGGCGGAGGTCAGGAATCCCGCCTCTGTTCGTGGACACCTGGCGAGCATGGGCTCTTGGCAGGAGCCCCTGACCTTTATCTGGTTTTCTTCATGCCCCAGCTGCCCTCCAAGGCCCTGGTGCCTGAAATGGAGGACGAAGACGAGGAGGACGACTCAGAGGATGCCATCAACGAATTTGATTTTCTGGGCTCAGGAGAAGATGGGGAGGGCTCTCCAGACCCTCGGCGGTGCGCTGGGGAGGGGACCCACCATGAACTGGGTGAGTTGAGGGCTTTCTGGCCAGCCTTCCTCATCGCGGGCACACAGCTGCCTGCAGCTGCTTCCTGCCCCAGGGTCTCCACTGGACGGATACGCTTCCTGAAAGGAGGGTGGCCGGGGAGAGTAGGAGGCCTGTGCCATGGTGGCCAGGCCCTCTCCCCTTCCCTGGAAAGTCCCTGTGGGGATGCAGGCAGGCCCAGCTCTTCCTGAGACAGGGCCTCCAGCCCTCCAGTCGAGTGGCCAGTTCTTGGTGGACCTCAGGGAGGTAACAGGATGCAGAGCGGGGAGGCCGACGGGGAAGGACTGCTGCTTCTTCCTGTCCTGTGACTCTGAGGTCTGAGGCCCTCAGAGGTCACGTAGGATGGCTGGGGACTGAGGCCCCAGCAGGGGCAGCCCTTGGAGGGTCTCATTTCGGTCTGTCTCCTCTGCCTGTCCCCCACCCCAACCCCTGGCCCAGGGCTTCCCAGCCTCCCCACAGTTGCAGGAGAGGCTTTCGGTGGTGGGGAAGGCATCCTGCACGTGGCTGAGTTGAACTGGTGACTGTTGCCCTGTTCTTTGTCCCTGCAGAAAGCCGGCGGGTCAAACTCCAGGGAATTTTGGCCGACCTTCGGGATGTGGATGGGCTGCCACCCAAAGTGACTGGCCCGCCTCCTGGCACACCACAGCCCCGGCCACACGAAGGTAAGAGGCCCCTCCATCCTGGTCCAGTCCTGAGGGGCCCATGGCAGAGGGAGGCTGCAGAGCTAAGCCCAGGGCTTCTGTGTCCTCAGGTCGAGGCCCAGCCTCTAGTCTGCAGCCTCCCTGTCCCAAAAGTTCGTCTGTCTGTCTCCCTCTCTTTTTGTCTGTCCTGCCCTGTCTGTCTGTCTGTCTCTCTCTGTCTCTTTCTTTCCAGCTGTGATTCTTGATCTTGTCCTCTGCCTGTCTCTTTCTCACTCCTTATCTCTCTCTCTGCCTCTCTCTGTCTTTCTCTCTCTCTCCCTGCCCCTCTCTGCTCCCCCCTCCCCTCCCCCTACCAGGTTCCTTTGGCTTCTCCTCAGACGTTTTCATCATGGACACTATCGGGGGCGGGGAGGTGAGCCTGGGGGACTTGGCAGATCTCACCGTCACCAACGACAACGACCTCAGCTGTGATGTAAGTTCTTGGGGTGCCCCATCCCCCATAGGCCCCCACTGGGCACCCTGCACAGTGCCAGGACTGGCTCGGCTCTGGCTGTGTGCCTGGCCCGTGCTCAGCCCCTCACACATGAGGACGACGTGAGAACATCTGACAGCTCAACCTGTGTCACAGAGGGGTGCGACACAGACAGATGGTGGGACTTGGCCTGGGTCACTGAGGTGCCTGGGCTAGAAGACTCCGGAGCCTGTGTTTTAATCACGCTGCCAGGCTCCTTCTCTAGGCGATGCTCCCTCCCACCTGGGGCTTACTTGCACCTTGAGCTCAGGACCCGACATGGGTAGGAGGCAGGGATGAAGGGGGCGCTGAGTCAAAATACAGTATCAGAGGAGGGGGCGCTGGGTCAGCAGCTGGGCCAGTAAGAAAGTCTGTGTAGGAGATGGGCATTGAGCTAACTGTTGAAGGGAAGGCGACCTTAAGCCCCAAAATGAAGCAAAAAGTTGGGCCAATCTGATATGGATGGAGGCTGGTGGGGCAGTTGGGCTGGAATGGAGGGAGACCTTCAGGCCAGTGTCCTGAGCCTAGAACCCGTGGCCAGGCCTCTGGCTATCTGGGAATCTGAAAGAGGCATATATGAGCGTTTTCCTCTGGTGGAGCACTTACCACAGCTTCTAGCGGGATTGCAGATGGTTGGTGTTCCTAGCAGGGTTGGGGCGCTGCTGCGGGGTGCTGGGAAGTGAGGCTGGGTGGAGGGTTTGAGCAGGAAGTATGCTGCAGTCCCCTCTGCTCTCCCAGAGACATGACACCTGGGGAGCAGTGTGTGGGTGTGAGGGTAGATCCTCTGGCCCTAAACTGCTGTGGCAGAAGTGAGGACCTTGGTGGACAGCCCAGATGAAGGGGTTCCTCAGGAGTGCTCCCTGTCTTGGGGCAGGGCCCTGAGGCTTGCCTGGCCATCTGCTCCTCTCCTCTCCTGAGTGGCCCTCCCCGAGTCCCCCACCTGGGGAACAACACCCACCATAATCTGTGTGGCATCTCTGGGGTTGATTCTACTCGCCAGCTTCTCCCTACTGTGTGCGCTTGACCCCTCTCCACTCCCCAGCGTCTGGTCTCAGTGTCTGACCTGTCCCCAAGAGACTTCCCTCGGGACCTCTTCCCACCTCTCTGTCTGCAGCCACTTCTGTCTCTCCTGGTCCGGCCCCCTCATGGGGTGGCCAGAACAAGCAGTGTCATTTCCCTGCTCTAAACCCTTCCCTGTCTCCCCTGTTGTTGAGGAAGGATGCACATTCTTAGTGTGGGCCACCATGTGGCTCTCGCTGACTTTCCAGGCCTCACCTCCTGCCATTCTCTCCCTTGCTTCCTGAATCCCAGGCCTCCTCAGGCTGGGGATCCACTCTTGCTGCCTTGGCCTCAGGGACTTTGCACATGCAGTATTTGTCCTCAATCCCCTCCCCTTATCTGGTTAAGTCCTACTGGCTTGTCACTTACTCAGGAAAGTGTTTCTAACCCCTGCAGAGGTGGGTGGGCACCTGGTGCCTCCTCTCAGCACATTTGTAGTTCATGGCGCTGCTCCTAGTTTATAGTTTATAATCCTCTGCACTATCAGGATGATCTGATCATCTCCCCCAGGCTTCCTCTGAGTTGTGAGATCCCCAGAAGCTAGCACAGTCCCTATACACTGCAGGAACTTGCTGAGGTGGGGCGAGGATGCTTCAGGCGAGGAGGAAGTGGGAGAGGGCCTGGGCTGGGGGCCAGTCTGTAAGGGGCTCCGTGTGGAGCTGGGTGTGGGGCGAGAGCTCACGGCCCTGGGTATTGTTGTCTGTGGAGAGCGGACACTGAGGCAGCTCCCCTACCCCAGCTGTCTGACAGCAAAGATGCCTTTAAGAAGACCTGGAACCCCAAATTCACCCTCCGCTCACACTACGACGGCATCCGCTCCCTGGCTTTCCACCACAGCCAGTCGGCGTTGCTCACCGCTTCTGAGGACGGCACGCTCAAGCTCTGGAACCTGCAGAAGGCGGTCACGGCCAAGAAGTGAGAGCCACAGCCCCAGTGTAGGGGGGCTGGGGGCTTCTGGGTGCAGGGGGTCAGGGTGACAAGGGGCTCCCGGTGACATCGGCTCCTCTGCCTCCCCACAGGAATGCCGCGTTGGACGTGGAACCTATCCATGCCTTCCGGGCTCACAGGTAGGCAAGTGCCCCAAGGTGGACTGACCCCTGGCCCTCTCACGGCCATCCCAGGGGGCCGAGGCAGGAGGCCAGGCAGCAGGAGGGCTCCGAATCCCCGTGCCCCTCTGTACACTCCCCTGCCGTGCTCCTGGAGCTGGTTCTCAGCACAGCCCTCGGAGGAGGACAGGAACAGGCCATTTGCCCCAGGGGCACAACCAGAGGTCCTCAGGCTGAATTCCTTTTGGCCATCCTTGAAAAATGCCAGTGGAGCACTTCAAGGTCCCTTGGAGGGGCTGGGGGAGGGGCGAGCCCGGAGCCGTTTATCTGCCCTCTTCACCCACCTCGATGTCCTCCAGGGGCCCCGTGTTGGCAGTAGCCGTGGGCAGCAACAGTGAGTACTGTTACAGTGGTGGGGCAGATGCCCGCATCCACAGCTGGAAGATTCCAGACCTCAACATGGACCCCTACGATGGTTACGGTGAGGACAGCTCCCTCCCCTGGCCTTCCTTTTCCCCCACCATCCATCCCACCATCCCACCAGTGGTTCCGCCAACACCTCGGGCATTTGCCCAGGCCTGACACTGCGGGTGCTGGGGCGGGGATGCCGAGGGCCCCCAGCCTGGTGATGTGTGGGACAGCGTGATTCAGCGCATGACTGAGGTCGGACAAAATGAGGCAGGAGGTGGCGGAGGGGGAGGGTTTCCCAGAGGGGCTGATTGGGGTTGGGCTTTGGGGCCATGGACCAGCCCAGGCAGAGGCGTGGTGAGCCCGGTGGTGCTTGGCGCTCTGCTCCGCCTGTGTCTCTACATGGCTGAGCAGAGAGGTGGGTTAGGGGGAGGTGGAACAGAGGGGACGGGAGCAGTTATCTGGGCCACATTGTAGGGAGTTTGTGCTTCATACTTGAAGGTTAGGTGGAGAAGTGACCAGACTTGCTGCTTCTGTTCAGTGTCTGCCCCAACCCCGACCTCTGACACTTCTTTTGATGACCCCTTTGGTCACACACGTGGCTCTGTGCTGCGGCCTGTCATGGCAGAGTTTAGAGGTCTGCATCTCCCTTCAGGGACTGTATACTGTTTTCTGAGGAATAGTCACACCCTGTCAGAAGTCATGGGTCAGTGCCAGGCAGTATCTGCTCTGGGCCGAGCAAGCTGTCACACCTCGGGTGTCAGCAGGGCCAGACCAGAGTACTCTGTGTGGACTTGAGTGACCGGGAGGGGAATGACCAAGGGCTTTGGAGAGACTGGGCAAGGCTGTGCACTTGAGCAGAAAAGTGGGGACCAAGGGTGGGGCCACCTGCAAGGGCCAGGCTGCAAAGGGTCTCAGGGCCACAGAGCTACCTTTGTTTCTTGTGCCCTTAAGTAAGTCCTAAAAGTTCTATGGAACAGCAGCTTTGTGCCAGGCACTGTCTCAGGCCGGGGGGATGGCAGGGAACAGGGCCCTGCCTTCTGTAGCTTCCACTCTGGGCGCCTTCAGAGCCCTGACACCCTTGCGGCCCAGCCTGTGGTCGGAGCGGGAGCGCCTCTGGGGCGTGAGGATTTGGTGCGAAGCTGGGTGAAGAGGTGACTTGAGTGCAGAGCTGCTGGCCCCGGGCTGTCCAGGCTGGGGCCAGCAGCTCTGACGCAGCCCTTTCCTCCCTCCGGCGGATCCAGACCCGAGCGTGTTGAGCCACGTCCTGGAGGGCCACGGGGATGCTGTGTGGGGCCTGGCCTTCAGTCCCACCTCCCAGCGCCTGGCCTCCTGCTCTGCCGATGGCACAGTCCGCATCTGGGACCCCAGCAGCGGCAGCCCAACCTGCCTCTGTACCTTCTCCACAGCCAGTGGTGAGTAGAGGGACGAGGAGGTAGTGGGGACCCTGACACCTCGCACAGGGGCCATCCAGAGCTGGAGGCCCCAGGGGAGGGACAGCTGCTGTCCCCCACCCCCAGGGTAGGACCGGGGCTGTCAGGTAGCCTTCCCTCCTCTCTGCCTTCAGATCACGGGATCCCAACCTCAGTGGCCTTTACCAGCACCGAGCCTGCCCACATCGTGGCATCCTTCCGCTCTGGCGACACTGTCCTGTATGACGTGGAAGCTGGCAGTGCCCTCCTCACGCTGGACTCCCGGGGGAACAGTGGTAAGGGGTCCTTGGGGCCAGGGGCTCAGGTCTGAATGTCTCCAGTGTCCCAGTTCCTCCTGTGGCTTTGGTGACCTGATGCCCCGTCAGCGGAAGGTGGCTCCCCTTTGGGGACTCTGAGCAGAAAGGAGTTAGGGTCTCGGTCACTGCCCTTACGAATAGCATGAGGCACTCGCAAGGGCTGCAGGGAGACACTCTGAGGGACTGCTTGGGGGAGCGGATAGGCCGTCTTCATGTTTGCTATCCCTCTGTTCCACCCAAGGCAGCACCCGGTGTCTACTGCACAGATGAAGTGTGGGGCCTAGGGAAGGCAGCGGCTGGGGTGCCCAGCCCTGTGTGACATCTAGGCAGAGGACAGATGTGGGACCGTGGTTCTCCTCTTGTCTTTGTCCTGGTCTCCCTGACCTCCTCACCCTTGACCTCTTCCCCTCCCTCTTTTTCCTCCCAGGCCCAACCCAGATCAACCAGGTGGTGAGTCACCCGAACCAGCCCCTCACCATCACCGCCCATGATGACAGAGGCATCCGCTTCCTGGACAACCGGACAGGTGAGGCCCAGCGTTCCTGGCCCCCCACTCACTTGTGTTTGTGAGGGGCAGGGGTAGACCAGGCTCAGAAGCACAACTCCTGGTGTCCACATTGGAGGCTCTCGGTGTCCCCCCGAGTCCTCCCTTCACCTTCCCAGGCAAGGTGCAGAGTTGGGAAGTAACCTGCTGCCCACCCTCTCTCCCTGCAGGGAAATCTGTGCACTCCATGGTTGCCCACCTGGATGCAGTCACCTGCCTAGCTGTGGACCCCAATGGCGTGTTCCTGATGTCAGGAAGTAAGTCGGGAGCTTCCTGGCTCCTAAGGAGCAAGCAAGGGCATGTGCCTTCCTCTCCTGCTGGGGAGAGGAAGAAGAGACTTGGGCCCTGGTCCTGAGGGAGTGTCCTGGGGGCCTCCTGAGTTGGGGAGCTGGTGGGGGTGTTGTCACAGCAGGGCTGGGAGCCTCTCCATGGCTGGAATAACTGGTCATCATAGTGGGGACAGCAAAGCACTGGCCACTCGGAGTGCCCCGAGGCCCTCGCCTACAGTATCTCATTTAATTTGAATAATCCTATGAGGTTGGTGCTGTCATCCTCATTGTACAGATGTGGAAACTGAGGCTAGAGAAGTCATTTCACTTGGTCAGCAAAGTGATATTGAATATCTAACTCAATCACCACAAGGGATTTTAGCTTTTGGCACCACCTGCTCTCTGTGGATAGAGGCACTGAGCCCCAGTGACTACTCCTCAGAGGGATGCGGTGGGACTTGGGCAGGTGGAGAAGGGGCTGCAGCTCCCCTGGGGGTGAAGAGCGTGCACTGACAGTCACAGAGGCCTGACCAGCTGAGCCTGCCATTGGGTAGAGCTTTCTCTCACTTCTGCCCAGCGTCATACCCTGCTTGGGGTGTCAGCCAGCCAGCTCACTAGCACACAGAGGCGCGGCAGTGGTGGTAGAGGGTGTGGGCCCCCAGGACAGTAGCGGCTGCCTCCGAGGAGGACAGCCCAGTGAGCAGATGGTGGTGAGGTCAAGCCCAAGCAGAGAAGACTCAGGACAGGGCCCAGGTCCCCCCAGAAAGGGACAAATAGAACCAGCCTCCCTCGCAGCCCGCTGGATCCTGGTAATGCGTGTCAGGCCATCTCCCCACAGTGGCTCGTGGCCCTGGGCCCCACCCAGTCTGCTCCCCACTCTCACCTCCTTCCTCCCACCCCCATCAGGCTGCCCATCCTCAGGACTTTCCCCTGGCTGTCCCCGCTGCCTGGAAGGCTCTTCCCCTGCCATACCCCCATGGCCACACTGTCCTCTCACTGACCGACTTGTGCTCACAGCACTTGTTGAGTCTGTCTTGTTTACTCTGTCTCCCACACTGGAGTGTCAGCACCACAGGGGCAGGGAGATTCGCCTGTTTTGTTCACTGCCTCCGCGCCCAGCACACAGCAGGAGCTTAGTAAATACTAGGTGGCTGCATGATAGCCTGGACAGAAGGGCTGTCCTTCCTGTGGGGCGTCTGGAGGTGACCTGGCAGAAGATCGAGCCCCATCTGCCTCTGAGTCCTTTGGATGAGGCTGGGTTAGGGGCACAGGTCTGAGTAAGGAGCCGGGGGACCCGGTGCTGCTGGGTGACAGCCCCTTCTGCTCCCACACCTGCACAGGCCATGACTGCTCCCTGCGTCTCTGGAGCCTGGACAACAAAACATGCGTTCAGGAGATCACGGCCCACCGCAAGAAGCACGAGGAGGCCATCCACGCTGTTGCCTGCCACCCCAGCAAGGCCCTCATTGCCAGCGCGGGTGCCGATGCCCTGGCCAAGGTCTTCGTATGATGCCCACCTGGCCCCGCCCAGGCCGCCACGCTGGCTGGGAAGTGGGGCCAGGCAGGTGGGACTGAGGTGAGTGGCCAGACAGGAGGGAGGCTTGGCCTCGGAAGGAGGAAACCCCCTGCATTCTCACCCCTGATGGGGCCCTCAAATACACCCCTTCGCCTGCATTTCCAGAGGACTCCATGTCCTGAAATCCTAGTGGGGATGCCCTTTGAGAATTGCCAGGGTAGCCCCTGGGCATTCAGAGGAGGGGCTGAGGCCTGGAGGGGCCCAGAGCTGCCTGACCTTTTGTACCCTGGAGGTCGTGATCCAGTCTCCCCTCCCTTCTGTCTCCCATAGGTGACTCCCAGCCTCAGTCTGGAGGCCTGGAGGCCCGGCCTCTTCCTGCCTGCCTTGGAGCCTGGTGGTGCTAATGGCCCTTTCCGCAGGAGGCCCTCCCCATGGCCTGCCCTTCCCCGAGCACCCAGCCGGGGAGCGGCCTCCTTCAGGAATCGTCCTCCAGGATGGCCTCTGGGAATTTTCTCTTCACCCTGACACTCACTCCAGGTCTCTGAGCTACCTTCTCGGGGGCCGCACAACCAGGGCTGAGTGTCCTTGGGGATCAGCTTTTCCAAGACGCCAGAAGGTGCCAGGTTCTCTCTTTGAACCCCTGACCCCTCCTCTCCACCTCCAGGGACCTGGGTGGGAGCCGTGCTGGGAGGGGCCCTGGAGCCAGTGGGAGCCGGGTCATCCTCAGTGGG